TGTTATCTCACTACATCATCTTTCAATTCAAACTTTTCTCTAATAACACTATTTCTGACTCCCTCATTTCCACCGCTTGAACAGTTATGTGATATTTTTGTTTATTATTTTCAGTGATAGCTCTGAAATCGAACAGTTCTATAAGGGAGCTCCGACTATGCGACAATCGGCTCGGCGTGTCGGACGCGGCGCAACTAGCGTCACTACTGCGGTACAACACACGCATACAACTGTTGGACCTCTCCAATAATATTATACAGGTACTTTTTATTTTTTTATGGCATAAGCCGGTAAACGAGCAGACGGATCACCTGATGGTAGGCAATAGGCGTCGCCCATTGACACACGGAACATCAGAGGCGTTACAAGTGCGTTACCGGCCTCTTTTAGGGATTAGGAGTTTGAGGATCGTTGGGGATTCAGGGAATACTATTAATATACTTCATTTTCGATTTATTCTAGCATTGTTTTCAGATATAAGGGTGCTATTTGACGAGAAAATATTATGACGTCATAAGATGGTATTTCGTACAAAATTCATAGACCAGAGGCCTTAGTATGAGTTTGTTTCGTCTGTCTGCAGCATGCACTGCCACCCTCTTACGGATGTCGTCACTCCACTTAGCTGGAGGGCGCCCTACGTTTGTCTAGACGCGAACTAGACCACGTCTTCCCCAACGGTTATCAGTTCTTAGACAAATATATTTACTAACTAAAATTGCGGGTTACTCACGTGAATATACTGAGAGATCAGTGAGCTGCGCGACGTCGCCGCGACCGCGCACGCTGCTCATGAGGAAGAACCCCCTCTGTGGTTCGAAACTAGTAGAGCTTTCTCAATATATTCACGTGAAAAACCCGCGATTTTTAGTTAATTTAGTATGTCTCACGATAGTTATTATAAATCTAAATATATAAATATCTAGTAATCTAGTAAATATTTCAAATTTCATTTTGGGTTTTCCACATTGAAACTATTCATTGCAATTAATCATCCTTAGGGTTAATCCTAATAGCAGCCTCAATTTCTTCTTTGGGTTGGTTCTAAAGAAATATATTTATTTCTACCTCTTTTTCTTGTATAGAAGCATTATTTCTATGGATTGTCAGTATGCATATTATGTGAGCACCATGTTAGACTTAAGATTTTTTATTTTTTTTATTTTAGTAAGTTATTAGTATAATGCGTCAAGCGTGTCTTTGCATTGTTCTTACATATGCGAACAGTATTGAAATATGTATCAGAGACATTGTAGAACATACTTTTTTAAAAGAGTAACGAATGGTGTTTCTTGCTCGTTCTTCTCCATTCGAATCTACGTTTTGGAATGAGCACCTAGCTTCACCTAGCTTCACTGACGGACTGACTGACAGACTATTATTTATTTTGTATTTGTTGACGTTTCAAAAGTACCAAACTATGGTTTAATTGAAATAAATGCTTTGATTTTGACTTTGACTTTAAACAATTGATTGATATTATTTTCCAGGATGCTGGAACAGCCCACTTGGCTGATGCTTTAGCTGAACAAGCAGCTCAGTCACCGCCTTCTGCGGCAGCTTCACCTCTGTCGCCGCACCGATGTCAAGGTAAAACCATTTTTATATGTCATGCATTTTTTTACTAGCTTTTACCCGCGGCTTCGCTCGCGTCACCAAAGGATAAAAAGTAGCCTATGTGACATATACCAATACACACAGCGCCATCTATACCAACACTTTTGTTTTCAATCGGGAATATCAAATTTTTCCGGGATAAAAAGTACCCTATTATTTAATCCGGACTTCTAACTTTACGTCTGCAAAAATTCAAAGCAATCGGTTTAGTAGTTACGGCGTGAAAGCGGAACAAACAAACAAACTCACTTTCCGATTTATAATATTATATAGTAAGGATAGGTTTTAACCGATTTTTAACCTTGAATGCACCGATATAAGACACAATTGAAAATACATTGTCTCGTGTGGATTCACGGTAAGATACACGACGGGTTAATGACTACTATTCTATCAATTAAGCCCTTTCGTTTGATATCCATAATGGAGGTAGTTGTAGTACGAGAGATGACGACCAAAACCATGTCTCATAGCAATACGGCAAAAACCCTATAAAATCGTTAGATTGTATGATTCTGAACCCGACTAGGTGTTTTTTTTATTTTTTTTTATTTTTTTTTAAGGGGGGAAAATCATCGAATGACTTCTCCCGCCTGGGTGAGGCGGGAGGGAGTGTCAGACTCTTACTGACTAAAAACCACCCCGTTCCTTCTCCTGCACGTCGAGCCGGAGCCCCGGTTACCCGTTAGGTTCTCCGCGACTCCGAATCGGCATCGGCCCTATTGGGCCCCATCTGTGGTGGTCTGATGGCTCTTTGAGGCGCGCGCGGAACGCGACGCGCCGTACGCTCGGGTCTGTTTCTGGTCGGACGGGGAGCCACCCATGCTCGCCGTCCGCAGGCCCGCGCTTACGGTGGCCGGAGATCGTCCCGCGATCCCCGACGCCCGGTGTGTCCTTCGCGATGGCTGGGTTGCGAGGAGGCAGCGCTTCGCTGCCTCACGCGTCCCGCCTCCTCCTTAGCTAGCATGACTGCTTCGCAAAAGGAGGAGACGGCATCCCA